GGAGTTTGGCTGGCATTGGGGGGGGGGTTGGGTGTGTCCTGGGAGGGGATTTCGGGAACACGGAAGGGTTTTAGGGGTCTCGGGAGAGGATTCTGGTAACACGGAAGGGTTTGGGGGATCCTGCAAAAGGATTTGGGAGCATAGAGGAGTTTGGGCAGCACTGGGGGGTTTTGGAGTGTCTTGGGGATTTGGGAACAGGAATGTTTAGGGGGGTCCTTGACCTGTGTTCCCCCAGCACTGGCCCTGGCGATGGTGCGGGATGGCTCCAGCGGGGGGGTCATCAGGCTGGCAGCCATCACTGAAGAGGGGGTGGAACGGACGGTCCTGGCTGGCTCTGACCTGCCCTGGGGTGATGGTGGCCCCCCTGTCTAGAGGGAGAGCTCCCCCCAGGACCCCCAAATTTGGTGGGGGAGACAATAAACAGCTGCGTTCCCTCTGCTGGATGGTCTCGGGGTCTGGCTTTGGAGTTCCGCTTTGGAGTCCCCTCCTGCCACCCTGTCCCTGGTGGAGGCAAAGCCACACCCACAGTGTGACAGACCCTGCCCCTGGTGTGACAGATATAAAGCACCCCCCAATGTCTGTAGGTCTTGCTTTAATTACATGATCACCATCCATGATTCATTAACAAAGCAATGGGTGGAGGGTGCTGGGGGAAGGGAGGAGGGGGAATTTTGGGGGGCTCCTGCCCCACACTGTGACCTTGATACTGGCTGGTAACAAAACCCCCAGAGGGGTGGGAAGGGGGCACATGGAGAGGGCACCCTACAGTCTCTATAGGGCTGCCCCATAGGGACAAGGCATCCCCTGTTGTCCCCATGGGAGGGATCCAGCACCCCTGTAGGGCTCAGGACCCCTCCCTAGGGCTCCAGGGATCCCTACAGCCCCAAGCAGTGGGTCATGCACCTCTGTAGGGCCCAAGACCCCTCCACAGGGCCCCAGGACCACTTATAGCCTTGACAGGGGTGGTCAGGCACTCCTATAGAGCCACCTCCCCTCCCAGCCCCTGGTGGGGTGAGGGGGGTCAGGTACCCCCCACAGCACATGAGGGAGAAGTCAGGCCCCCCCCAGAGTGCCTTCATAGCGGGGGAGGGGGGTCAAGTGCCCCTACAGAGCCCACGGGGTGGGGTCAGATTCCCCCAACCCCCCCCGGGGGGTGTCAGGCACTGAGGAAGAGCCGCTGGTACCACTTGTTCATCTGCTCGAGAAAGATGAAGGTAAGCACGGTGTGGGGGCCCAGGCGGGCATAGTAGGGGGTGAAGCCCTTCCAGAGGCTGAAGAAGCCCTCATACCGCACCACCTTCAGCAGCACGTCCTGCAGGGGGGGTAGCGTGTCAGGCGGAGACCCAAAACAATGGGAAACCTTCTAAAAAATTACATGGATGCCTTTCCAGAAGGATGGGAAACTATCGTGAAGTAACACGGACACTCTCAAAATGATGGGGAATCCTCCCAAAACTGTGGGAAGCCGTCCAGAGATAGCCCCCCCCCGCAATGAAAATAATAGGGAACCTTCCCAAAATGCCAGAGGAGTTCCCCAAAATGATGGGCATCTCCTCAATATGACCTGAATTCCTTCCCCCTGCCTCCAAGGACAGGGAAGACCCCCAGAATGGTGTGAAACCCCCCAGTTGGAAGGGAACTCCTGAAATGACAGAGGAGCCCCTCCTAAGGTGATGGGGACTCCCAGATGGGGATGTTGCCCTCCCAAACCCCAGTCACTCACCAGCCCATTGCGGTACTCGGGTTTTCCATCTATTGTTCGCATGTTCTGGATGCTGTTGGGGAAAATTGAGGGGTTGAACAGGAGGTTAGGGGGTGACCATACGTCACATCTGTGATTATTTAAGGGGGAGCAGAGGACGCCCCCTCAAAATGAACCCACCGGGTCTTGACAATGTCGACGGGCATGGAGGCAGCCGTGGTCACCAGCCCGCTGATCATGCTGGCGCAGAAGTGGCACAGGATGTCATCGCGAAAATGCCCTGGGGGCACCCCAAAACATCAAAAGGGAAAGGGGGGAGAGTGCACTAGGATTTAGGGTTTCCCCGTGGCAGACCCACCCCCTGAACTCACCGGAGTCGAGCAAGAATTGTTTGGATTGCGAGTATGAGGCGAGCTGGGCAGCATTGACGACCACAGCACGGGCCATGGTGGGGATACAGCCCTAGGGGAAAGTGGAGTGTTCGGGTGAGTCCTGTGCACCCTCAGGCCCCACCACGTCACTCTCTGCATTCCCACTTTCCCCCACAGACCATGCTGTCCTCCCTCACCACAGTGGGGACACAGCACTGGAGTGGGAGACGGGAGTTCGGGGGACACCCGCTCCCCCCCCCCTCCAAGAGCATGACGAAACCCCCCCTGCATCCCTGGGGAGGCAGCAGGGCAGTCATGGGAGGATCTGGGGGTCCCGCCTCCCCACATACCCTCCACAGCGTGAGGACCCCCTCCTCCCTCGCCATCCTCACGAGGGCGTCGAACACGTTGCGATACCCGCGGCGCTCGCCAGGGGGCAGCCTGGGATTCAGAGCAAAAAAGGGATTTTGGTAAAAAAATTAAGATTTGGGAGGTAAGTGGGGGCGCAGGTTTGGTTTTTTTTTGAGGGTTGGGGGCTCACCTGCCATCAGCTGTCATGCGAATGAGGGCCACCTCAGCCGGAGTCCCCACGAAGGCCCCCGCAGCCCCTGCCGTCATGCCCATGGCTGCCTTGGCCAGGAACGGAGGGGGGGTCCCATCAGCGCCCCCAAAACGCTCCAGGAGGACGCTGTAGATGCCCAGGCGGGTGGTGGTGTAGGTGGCCTGGCGCAGAAGCCCCGCTGATAGCCTGGGAGGGACACAGAGAATGGGAGAAGTCCCAAAAACGGGGGGCAGGGAAGAGCTCAAGACTTGCTGGTGCTTGGGGTTTTGAGGTTTTGGGAGCTCTGTATCCCATGTAGATGACCAGCAACCCCTTGCAGCACGGGACTGACCCCAGGGCATGCAGGGACCTGAGGTTTGGGGGGGGTGGGGGGGTGGTTCAAGAGATGACCCAGGGACTTCGAGGTTCAGGGTGGTTGCAGGGGGATTCTCGGGGGCCCATACCCCGTGTAGATGCCCCTCAGTCCCTCGTGGCGTAGGATGGACCCCAGAGCGTGCAGGGACGTCCGGTACTCACGGCCCTTGGCCCCGGCCCCACTCAGCTGCATCCGGTTCTTCACCAGGTCCAGGGGCTGCACAAAGACTGTAGCCCCCATCCTGAAGGAAGGGGGTCACGTAGGGTCAGGGGAACCCCAGAAATACTCACGCCCCTCTCCACAGCCCCCCAAATCCACCTACAGCCCTCCTGGAGGAAACCTGGGGTGACGAAGTCTGAAGAAGGTTTGGGGATCTACTGGGGGCGGGGGGCACAGGGCGGGTTTGCAGGAGCTGGATGGGATTTCGAGAGGTTTGAAAGGGTTCAGTGGATTTGGATTTATTTTGGAGGGCACTGGGGGGTGTGAAGGGGGCTTGGGGAGCATTTGAGGGAATCAGAAGGGTAGTTACAGGGTTTAGGGGCGGCTAAGGGGTTAGGGGGGGACATCGGGGGTGGCTTAGGGGCGACCGCAAAGGTCTGGGCGGGGGAATCTCGGTTTGGGAGTGCGGGATCCCGGTTTTGACGAGGAGGGGGTTCTCACCCGGCCAGGCCGCCGAAGAGAAACTTCACGGATTTCGGGGAGGTCTTGGGCCTCTGGGCCGCCGGCACCGCCGCCATCACGGCCGGACCCTGGTACCGGGGGCACGGGGGGGGCGCAGGGTCCGGCACCGGCGGCGCCCCAAGGTGACTCGGGGGGGGCGCGGCGCCAGTGCGCCTGCGCGGGGCGCCTGCGCGGCGGCGGGGCGGGGGCCCCGCGCGGGGAGCGCGGCTTTGCGGAGAAGCACCGCCTGTGAGGGGAGGGGGTGTGGCCGAGCACCCCCAGGGCGTGTCCCGCCCTCACGCCTCTCATTGGTGGAGGATGTTTAGGCGGGAAGGGAAATGGTTCGCTAAGCAAGAGGATTGGTTGGGGCGGAGGCAGGTGCGAAATAGCCCCGCCCCTCTCTCGCGATATTCCGCCATCTTGGGGGGCCTGAGGGGAGCCGCCGGCGGCGGGAGGGGTCGGCGACCGGCACCTCACGCACTTGGTCTCGCCACTGCTCAGCGCCGTGGGGTGATGCCTGTCCCCTCCTGTTCCAGGTGGTGAGTGCTGGGGGGAATTGGGACGCACTGGGAGATATTGGGAAGCATTTGGGACACTGGAGGGCGCTGTCAGGTGCTGAAAGGCTCTGTGGGTATGCGGGGAAGCAGTCGGTACACTTGGGATCACTGGAAGGTACTTTGAGCGCACTGGGGCTCACTAGGAGGCGCTTTGGGGTCACTGGAAGGCGCCTTGGGTGCAATGAGGGGCAGTGGGAGGCACTTTGGTTGCACTGGGGGTCAGTGGAAGCAGTCTGGGTCTATTGGAGAGCACTGGGGGCAGTCGTGGATGCATCAGTCAGCACCGAGGTCACTTAGAATCCCCCTACTCCTCCCACTGACCCTTACTACTGATTCTAACTGGGAGTCACTGGTGAGGTACTGCACCCCACCCCTTCTCCAGCACTTCCATTCCCCTTCAAACCCCGTCCTTCTTCCCCAGCCCCCCAGTTCTGGGGTACTCCTCAGGTGTTAGGGGTTGTTGGGGACACCAGAGGGTACACGATGCCAGGGATGGCACAGGTGACACCATCCTACAGGTGTCAGGGTGCTACAGATGACGGAGGTGACAGGATCACCTGGAGATGGAGTGCGAGGGGGCAATGACACTGTCCCACAGGATGTAGGGGTGCCACTGTCCACAGGTGACAGTGATGGGGTGATAGTGTGCCCCAACCTCACAGCCATGGGCGTCACCTCATGGCAGGGGAAAAGGCGTGTAGCAGGCCCCAACACCTGAGTCCCTCCTTGCTGGGTGAGGGGGACAGAGGCAACGACACTCTATCCACCCCACGGCCCAACCCCTGATACCCCAATTCTCGCCATGGGTCAACTGCGGGCCCTTCCCCCCCATCCGTGAGTCAGCCGGGTGGGTGGGGGGGGGAACAGGAAGCGCCAGAGCCACCACATTGCCCTTATAAGGACTCGACAGCACCAGAGCTGCTTCCGCCTGCCCGGACGTCTGGTCCTGCCCCACATCTCCCCTTCTACCCCACATCACCTTCCCACATCCCCATCTCTGCCCTAGATCACGTTCTTCGCCCCACATCAGCCCCCTCCCATCTCCCTCTGCCCCAACCCATCCCTCCCACATCCGGACCTCTGCACCCCATCAACCCCATCCCACCACCTCCCTAACCCCCACCTCTGCTCCACACCACCCCCATGGGGCCCTGCCAGAATATCTAGAGTTCCTGCCCCCCAGTTCCCCACAGCCCCTTCTGTTCCCTCCAGATGTCCCCCAGTCCCCTTGT